AAATATTGAGGACTATTGAAAGTATCACTCTCCTTTTCAGTATCCTGATAATCAAAACATGACCATTTATATAACCTACAGATAGAAAGGGGCTGTTGTAGGCTAAATTGTATACTTTCCAAACTCATATATTGAAGCCCTAACCCCAAGTATATGTAAGAATGAATATGGCTGTATGGGGGACAGGGCATTTAAAGAGGTAACTGAGATTAAATAAGGCCACATGAGTGGAACTTCATCCAATATGACTAGTGTCCTTACAGGAAGAGGGAGAGATGTCAGGGATGCACATACACAGAGGAAGGGCCAAGTTAGGACACAATAACAAAGTAGCCATCTTCAAGCCAAGGACAGAGGCCTCAGGAGAATCCAACCTGCCAACCTTGGTCCTGGACTTCTAGCCTCCAGAACTATGAGAAATAGCTTTCTGTGGTTTAATCCACCCAGTCCACAGTATTTTGTTATAAGCCCTAGCAAACTATTGCAACATACGAGCTCACTCAGCCTTCTCAATATTCCTTATATTTTCCTTATTCTTACAATGACATCTTCCTCTTGTCTTCATGAGAAATATAACCCATCCTTCAAGGCATAATCAAACAACATCTCTTTTGTGCAACTTATCCTAATACTCTGCATTCTCATATTTGGCATGTTTTTATTGTAGAATGTTTTACATTGTGTCAACGTCTGTCTCTTGTAGTAGATTTATGAATTATTTAAGAAAAGAAACCTAGATTCCATCTTTGAATTCCCAATACTTGTCTTAATCCTCATGGGATGAATGAATACATGTGGGATACACAAACAAATGAGTGAATGAGTAAATGTGAGGCAATTTCTCCTTAAAATGCTGCACTCTCTGCTGCCCTCTGGTGGCTATTTCCTCTCCATCACTGTGTCTAAGGCAGGATGTGGAGATTCTCATGGCAACATCCTAGCTCTTCACGGCCTCTTTCAGAGGACTCATCTTCAAATGTATGCAAAACTTCCTTCTCCTATTCTGGTATTACTATACTTTACTACTCTTACTTCATCATCATTCAATCTCCTAGTCATCCTTCTAATTTACTGAGGACTTTTATACCAAGACCATGGTTTTCTCTACTCTAACACTGACTTCCGAGTCCATGTCGATCATCCTTCTCAATAGACTCAAAATTCCTTCCTCAATCCTAACAGGCTATTCACAATCTACTATAGGAACTCACATATGGTCACACTCAGTCCTTTACATCACAAAAACAGTTTCATCTCTATCTAGGTATCTAGGCTCTGTAGTAAGCTAAATAATACCTCTCCTACACCAAGGATGATCACATCCTAATCCTGAAAACCTATGTTACTCTACTGCCAAAAAAGAGACTTTGAAGATATGATCATTTAAGGAAGGGTCTTGAGATGGAAAAAATATCCTGGATTATCAAGGAGGGCCCAATGGAATCAGAAGGTCACAGTGGGAGACAGACTTGGAACCACAGAATCAGAAGTCAGAGGATGTGGGTGGTTTTTAGATGCTGGAAAGTATGGAAAGAAGATTCTCCCTGAGGGTCTCTGGGAAAAACACAACCTACCAACTCACTTCAGACTATGACTTCCAGACTGTAAGAGATCAATCTGTGGTGCTATATGTCACCAAGTGTGTAATAAATGGGTAGATCAGCAATAGGACACTAAAACAAGCTCCAATAGACTGCCCTTTAATCACCAACCTTTTTCTTCTGGTTTACTCACTACCTTTCCCACTCCACTCTAGCCCTGTTCTCACAGTCAATTCCCTCTCTCCTGGCTTCGTTTCCTTTTCCAGACAACAGCGTAGTATGATTTAAATTTGTTGACTCTCTTCTCTGTACACCAACATCCTAACCACTCCTCCTTTTGCTTCATGTACCCTGATACTACTCACTTGGCAACAGACCCACCTTCTGCTTGCTTCTCTCCTATCCTGAGGATACTAAACACCTCAGGACACAATAGCTCGACAATACTGGTGCCACTACAAATCCAGAACCTACCTCAGGTAGGTCACAGTGCCCCTTTATTCTTGTACACAACCTTCATTAGTTCCTCTCTTAGTTCTCTCAGCAATAATTCCACACCATTGCTTCTTCCCCACTCTCCTACCCACCACTGCACCTGTCTTTAGGAAGTTGCCTTGTCTTCTGTTTTTGAAAGAAAAATGAGGTATGGAACAGACTGGTTCCAGTCCCCGTCACTTTCCTCATGCCTGCTTGTTCCTCATATGCATGCCTCTGCCCAAAAGTCCTCTCCACCCTTCGGCCCACTCTGTACCCCACATTTCCAGAAACACATTCCTGTTGTCTCACTTTCCGACTTACACTCAGCCCTCAATGAGCCACTCATTCCCCAGGTGGCCACTCCTTTTGTCCTCATTTTCTTGTACATACTTCTGTTGCAACTATCATAATACATCACGTTAAACATGTAATAATGTTTAATTATATTTCTCTGTTTTATGCCTCTTCTTTTCCTAGCCTGAGAGTCTCTTGAGGTAATTTACTGTGTCTTATTTGTCTCATTATCCCAACATGCTCACGCTACGCCTTTCACGTTTTGAGAAATGGTCAGAAGGGGAAAGGACCTCGCGAAATGATCGATGATGGCCAGACCAGCCTTCTCTCCCACTGCGTGCACATACCTCCACACATCAGGCCTGACTCTCACCTCCTCCTGGTGATTAATCTGCTTGGAGACTGTGGCCTGCCGCAGACTCCCAGACAGACGCTCATGCCAGTCCAAGTGCCAAGTGCATTGGCATGTCCATCAAATGTGCTTCAGAATCAGAAAGGCACTTTTGGCTGCCCTGGTGCTCCAGGCCATCTGGTCAGGTGGCACAGTGCCCACTTACAAGGTCAGTTCCTCACTGCCCTGAATAGTCTGGATTATGCTGCTCAGTAAACTTTCTCTCTGAACTGCCATGGGAAGTCTTCAAGATCATCATTGGTGCCTCCATTATTCACTTCTATGTTTTAGTTCTCAAAAGGTGGTAGGGATAGTTCTTCAGAGCATCATTGCATTCTCTAACTGCTCCTGAGGACAACAGAAAGGCCTGGGAGAGCCAAGGACAGTGTCCTCTTCTCATTTCCTGTTTGGGGGAAGAAGAGTGGCAATGAATTGTGTGGACCCTGGAGACATGGAATGGCATTCTGGGACCTCGAGATGTGCCCAGTCTGCTTAGTAGACACTTGGATCCTAAATCAACCCATTTGTTTTGGAAGTGATTACTCATCAACTACGCCTCGCCTCTAAGTGATGGTGCCTTTTCTGTTCAAAAGAAATCTTTGCACTCAACAGGAGAAATGGAGATAGAAAAGAAGATGCAATGTGTTCTTGTTGGCACAGTTCTGGGTTGGAATTTGCCTAAAAATCCCTTTGAGCATGTAGGGAGCAGTGCTATAACCATGAAAGGCTGCTAACAACATGGAGAATGCTGAAGATGGGCAGCCCTGAGCAGCTCTACGCAGATGACACCCGTCCTGGGCCAGAAAAAAGACAGCTGCATCGCAGAGTTGCAGTAGTGCAATATTGCAGACAGAATCCTGGAGACGGGTGGGCAAGGAAGCCAGTCTCACAGAAAACAGACACAAACACTTCTGCACAGTCAGTGCTACTGTGAGCTATTTACTCGTTCTGTAGGTAATTCTGTCGGTATAGAAACTGACGGGGAATTTACTATCGCTAAACACAGCGAAACACAAAGCACATTTAAATTAGTATATTGGAATATTTGAGAACACAACTCTACCTCTGCCTTTGAGAGGGGAGAAAAAAGAATGGAGGTAGATATTAAGAACCCCTCATCCTTGAAGATTTGGCACAAAGGCTCCTTATCTGCATGGCTCCCCTTAGCCCCTGCAAATCAATGAGCTTTCCTTCCCCCGAATGCTTACAAGTGTTTGCACTTGAGTATCCGGTACAGACTTGTATTATTAGATACCCCTTCATGGTCAAAGAGCTGGGCTCCCAGGACCAGCAGTTAGCATAATGGCTATGTCGCTGGACTCCCACGTAGTCGACCGCGGTTCGCGTCCCAACCCGGTGGCTTAAAACTCAGGCCAGGTGCGTGTGCGTGTGTGCCCAAGATCCCGAGAGGAGAACGGAGGAGAAGGGATTGCGGATTGGCCATCCCCCCTAGGGGGTGATTTCTCGCTTTCTGTCTCTCTGTCTCTCTCTGGCTTTCTGGTGAGCGCACGCGCCCTAAAGCAAAAACCTCTCCAAAAAAAAAAAAAAGAGTTCGGCTCCCCACTCAGCAGAGGTCCTTGAGGACAAGCACTGCCTCTCTTCCTCCTACCTCTACCTCACAGTGATTGAACACAGCAGATGCTCAATCTGATTACTCCGGGAACGCCACTGGCAGACAACCCCAAATCACCGGGGTGACTTTGTGATAACAGACACAAAATTGAAAGAATAAATCCATCTCCGTATTACGTTTTATGCCTTGTATTCTTCAATTCCTGAGAACAGGTGGGTGGGCTGTGTCCTGGGGGTGAGTGACAGGGGGGTGTGTGGGGGGAGTCCAGGGAAGTGGGTGGGTGTTAAATTCCGTCAGGCCAATGAAAATACGCCTCTATGGGATTCAGACACAGTGGGATACGAGTTTGCCCACGCAGTAAGGGGTGTTGGCTGACTTCACTGAACAACTGAATACTTGCAGGTGGAACGCGTCTGGAAGGCGCGGGGAGGCCGAGTCTCCAAGGTCATTGCCGGAGGCCGCTCCCTTTCTCCCGCCCTGGGCGGGCGGCGCCGTCTCGGCGGCTCCTC